TGGGTTGGTTCTGTTTTCTGAATGAGGCGAGGGGAGGCCTGTTTGGTCTGTGCCAAAGCTATCTGCTAATGGAGTTTGGCTGCAGTGCCACAGATGCATTTATAGTGTACCATTAATTCATTAAGGAACTGCAGTCCTCTCACTCCAAATAAAACAAGAGCAGAGGACGGAGAAAGAGGGAGAGACAGCTTGCGTTGGAAGAAGTGTCATTAATCTCAGAGGCCTGGTGTCAAGGACAAATGTAGAAGGTGTGTGTGTGTGTGTGTGTGTGTGTGTGTGTGTGTGTGTGTGTGTGTGTGTGTGTGTGTGTGTGTGTGTGTGTGTGTGTGTGTGTGTGTGTGTGTGTGTGTGTGTGTGTGTGTGTGTGTGTGTGTGTGTGTGTGTGTGTGTGTGTGTGTGTGTTTGAGAGGTGTTGATACCATTTGTTTTGTCCTGTCGTTTGACTTGTATTGTATTGCGTTGCATTATACGTCAATGTTATTGTCCTTCAACCATCCTCAAAGGACTCTCCGTCTCTAGGGATTGCTGCAGTTGCTAAAGTTAATAAATGAGAAAAAGCGTTAATGTTTTTGGGGTTGAAACTCTGCGAACAGTATTGATCAGGGAAATGTCTGCGTCAGGTGAAACGCTTGGAGCCTCACCAACCTCATCCTCTCTAATTTGTGCTCTGGCTCGCAGTCAGACCACGAGGACGGCTGGAGTGCTTTCACACCCACTGGCGGAGGTTAAGTCCCACCATCTTCCTCCATCTACTGACAGCTCATTTGCTAAAATACCTCTTTGCTAAAATGATCTTTTTCTCCCCATCCCTCACCCTTCCCTCCCTGCCTCCTCCCCTCTCAACATCGCAGGTGTAACGCTGTCTTTAGCCTGAGGGGGGCAGAATGCCGGAGCAGAGCAACGACTATCGTGTGGTGGTGTTCGGGGCGGGGGGGGTGGGGAAGAGCTCCCTGGTCCTGCGCTTCGTGAAAGGCACCTTCAGGGACACCTACATCCCCACGGTGGAGGACACCTACCGCCAGGTGATCAGCTGTGATAAGAGTGTGTGCACGCTCCAGATCACGGACACCACGGGGAGCCACCAGTTCCCCGCCATGCAGCGCCTGTCCATCTCTAAAGGCCACGCCTTCATCCTGGTGTACTCCATCACCAGCAAGCAGTCCCTGGAGGAGCTCAAACCCATTTACCAACAGGTGGGTGGATAAGTGTCTAGACCAGGGGTTCCCAAACTTTTCAGCCCGCGACCCCCAAAATAACAGTGCCCCATGTCGACGGAGGGGGGGGGTGCTAGTGAATTAATTTCAGTTTTCCGCACAAACACTGCGCTAGTGGATTGTCCAAGGGGGTAGCCTTGTTGCGGGGAAATTATACAGATGGCTAGTCCGCCCCTGAAAATGTCTATGCAAACGTTATTATTAATAATCATTCTAAAAAAAAAATTATAATTTTTTTTTTTAATTTTTATTTTGTAATCATCTCGCGACCTCCACTCGGGGGCCAAATGCGGCCTGCGGACCATTTTGAATCCGCCCTCACTCAGCAAATTAAAAAAGTATAATGACTTGAGTATAATAAACTTCTGCCTGTCTTATATTGTACTTCTTGAATATATATGTTACAAGGTATTCATGTGTTAGTTAGCCCAGTTTTCAAATAAATTCAGTCAATTCAAGTTGAAAACATGTTCTAACAAATCTTAGTTGATAAGAAAAAAGCCCAATAACAAACGTACGTAACAACCTTGAAATATACCCTTCCTATTTGCTCTTATTATAATCAATCTGAAGCTTCTGTTTTAAGGAATGAGCTGCGAGACAATAAATGACACCCTCCGGAGAGCTGGGAGCTGTTCTCTTTTGAAAGCATTCTCAAGTATCAAGAACAATTGAGCTATATTGGATTTACTTTTCCAACTTATAACTTAACTTATGAGGCAAAATACCTCTAGTGAGTGGCCCAGCCCTTCTTATATTTGTCTGTATTTGGCCCTCGGTGAAAAAAAGTTTGCACACCCGTGATACATGTATTTTAATGAGAATGGAAGTCCAGGATGCATTTATCACCTTCATGTCCAGCTAGAAGGATACATTCACAGCTGTTTGTTGTTTTGATTACATAATAATAAACTATTGTTGTTGCATAATTCAGACATGAAGGGTGGTGATGAAGTACTTAGATCATGTACTTTCACAAGTACAAATCCTGCATAATGGATTTTACTTCAAATATACTTGAATTATGAAAGTGAACACATTTTTCTCAAATGTCCATTTTATAATAACTTTTATTAATTAGAATACAACTAAATGCGTGGATGAATGTCCGTAACCTCTTAATGGGAGGGTCATCTGAATTACATTTTGTATAGCATGTTCTGTAAGCATCCTTAATCCCAAAAGGAGTTTAATGTATAAAATAAATGTGGTGGAGTACACAGCTCAGTATTTCCCACTGACATGTATTTGAGTAGAAATCAAAAGTACATCAACTGTAAAGAAGTACAGTACTTAAAGTAAATTAACTCCATCACTTTCCAAGCACAATACAAAAAAAAACGAAAATGTACATTTAAAATAAAACACGGATAAATAAAACAAACAAAATACATTTATGATGTTGTGAGGGAATATTTCTCTTTTTACTCCTAGACATTTAACATATTCTGTGTGTTGACATTTACGACCATCCCTGCTTCTTCTCCCGTAAGGAATGTGTTAATGCAGTCGTATGTTGATACTAGGTTTTATGGCCTGACCTGGTGGGCACAGGGGGGGTTTTACGACGCTGGCTTTCTAAGCTCCACAGATGTGAGAGACATCTCCTGTGTCTGCAGATGTTTACGCCCATCCCCAATATGTGGATTTGACTCTCTGTAAACTAGTTAAAAGGTCTACCAACATGCGAGGCTGATCAGATTTGACATGGCAACCCACCCGTGCAGTCAGAACCTTTGACTGTGTGACTTGTGATGTGAATTTCTCCGGCCGATGCTTGTATTAAATACCAGTGTTTGACATCCTGTGTCTCCTTCATGAGTCGGTGACTCCCAGTGCGTTGCTACACAGAAGTTTCCTCCACAGATGTGACATTTAGTTGAATAACATTGAAAAAAGTAACATTTCGTGTCTACAGATGTAAAGACTTTGATACATTTCGGCAAATATTCTTATCCGATGTTAAATCAATCTTTTTAAAATGTAAATAATTGATGATGTGTTGTTGCAGGTGTTGGCCATAAAGGGAAACGTTGAGGCCATCCCCATCATGCTCGTGGGGAACAAGAGCGATGAGACCCTTCGGGAGGTGGAGACCAAGGACGGAGAAGCCCAGGCCAACCAGTGGAAGTGCGCCTTCATGGAGACGTCGGCCAAGACCAACCACAACGTCACGGAGCTCTTCCAGGAGCTCCTCAACCTGGACAAGAAGAGGAACATGAGCCTCAACATCGACGGAAAGCGCTCGGGGAAGCAGTCCCGCGCCGAGAGACTGAAGGGAAAATGCAGCGTGATGTAAGAGGTGGAGGTGGAGGTGGAGAGAGGTGGGGAAGAATTACAGAGAACAGGAAGTAGAGAGAGAGAGAGAGGAAGGACTCACTAAACGTATCCTCGGAGCAAAATGTTACGAAGGTGTAACGGAAATCTCATCATTCACCTCTGTTTGACCCAATCACTACCACAGCTCTCAGTTTGGAGCCTTATGTGCATTCTGTGGAGAGGAGAAATGAGCGCACATTTAAAACAAGAAGTACGCGTAGCATCATCCAAGCGCTCACAAAACCTGGCTGTGGATCTCAGCAAGACCTTGGACTGCAATGACTACAAGAAGGTTTCTAAAGTGATCCAAAAAAATGTTGTCCTCTCTCACTTCTTCATCTAAGCCCCTCCCCCCTACTCAGCGCACACCGCTCGTCACCCCTCACATACCCCCCTACTATAACAAATAGACGTAACGTAATTGTAACAGAGTCGATACACTTAGTTAAACTCACTCTTCTTGTGGAAACGCCAGCTCAAGGTGTAAAAGGGAAAGTACAGGTGTGATACTGTTAGCATGAATGACGTTAGCGCACCCAGCTACATCCCAGAGCAACTCCTGAGGACTCTGATGTATATAAACACGGGATATTTAAATATATTCCATCTAAACACACGCCCTGCACATTAGTAACAAGTCAAAGGGAGAGGTTTGAAGCATTAACGCTTCATCTCCTGATCCTCAGCCTCTCTCCGGAAACATTAAAAAAAAGACCCTTATTATTTATCAAGAAGTCATTCTACTAAAAACTCATCCGCAAACTCTTTAAATGTCTAAGTCTGAAGTGGAGGGGCTTCCAGCGGGTAGGCGCATACACGCTGCTGATACGACGCAACAATCCTTTTAAGACTTTCATTTAGGACAGAAAAGCTCTGGAGGAAAAGAAGATGGACACTCGTCGAACACAGGAAACACAAAATCAAGTCTGCCTTGTCTACGAGGATGATACACTCGGATAATCATTGCCAAGCTGGTGAGACGAAGAAGTAGATTTTTGGTCCTGAGGTCAAGAGTGTCAGTTTACTTTGGCACCTTCCACGTGAAGGTGTCTCTTCTTTTGCCTTTTTTATTCTTGTTTGCTATCTTTATGAAGCTTTATATAGTCATGTCAAAGTCAGAAAAGCCCTCTTTAAACAAAAAAAAGCACACAGATAATTAAATAAATAAGGGATAAATGTAAAATGGTTGCATACAGATTATTTAATGTGACCTGAATCACTTACATTCTGTTTCCTCTTTGGTTGTTTTGGTCACATTACCTCTCACATGCAGGCGTCGGTAAACAGGAAACAGAATGAGTCACACACACACACACACACACACACACACACACACACACACACACACACACACACACACACACACACACACACACACACACACACACACGCGACCGTAATTGTTCATGTTGTTGCCTGTTATGTTTAAAGGATCTCCGCTTAACTCAGAATATCCTCCTGGAGCTCTGCTGTATGTCCAAAGTGCATGTTTAAACCTTTTGTCCCTACGCAGGAGCTCTGAATATTGTACACGGTAAACACGGGACAGCCAAAAGCACAATACTTTTTTAACTGCATATCTTTTATCATTTCTTTTTGTATTTCCTTTTTGTACGTTTCTCTTCCTTTTATCTGTCTCCTCTGTGTGATTTAACATGTATCTGAACACGGAGGAAACAGTCACCGGTATCTCCTTCATCTGTAGATGTGAGTGTTGTTATGTGTCCGGTGCATGGCACAATGAGGTTGTGGTTCTGCTGAACAACAGGGTTTCATGATGTGACCGTTAGCTGTGTGTAGGTCGAGTAGGACTCAGTACGGGGGGGGGGCAGATTATTTGCCTACTTTTCTCCATCTCTAAAGCGGTTTTAACAACAATTTGAGTGGAGGGTAATCTGCTCTTGTTCTGTTAAACCCAAAGACGCAGATTATGCCTGGTTGTAAGTGTGTGTCCGTCTGTTCTGGACAAAACAAAAGCACAGCAACTGTTTCCATCCGTCCTCCTTCTCTGTCTGTATGTGTGCAGCAGAATCAAGAACCGGGCACTTTAGGGTGACATTTTACTTGAAGACTTGCTTATTTAAATCAGCGATGCCTCATTTATAAGCACCATGTAAAATGTCCCTCCTGCATTGTTCCATAAAATAACAACTTCCAACAGTGTTGTTATTGTAAATAAAGCATACGGTAGTTGAATGAAATGTTTATAAGAGCTTCAAGTAAGATGTTACCCATGTAAAGAAAAACTGTCTTTCTGGGAATAAGTCCTTGGAGTCGTTGTTACAGTAGGAGGTTCGATGTTGCTATTTACTGTAGTTTACAGCTTATTAATAACGATGCTCATGATATATTTGACACATCCACTCTTCAGCTATACCAATCAGATAATACGTGAATATGTAACTAAAGGTGCCACTCCATGGCCGTTTCTGTTTTCTTAATGAATCAGTTATCGATGTGTTGTCCTTTGCACTAATGTGAGGTCCTCCTAAACTCCTAAACGTTGCATTGTAAACCGTACCCTTTACTAACATGTTAGAAGCCAGGGATGCTCACTCTTACTTACCCTTTCTTTTTGCCATCAGTTTATACTTTAAACAACTTGTAATTGACATAGTTTGTCCTGGCTTGCTTTAGATGCCAGAAGGATGGAGTGATTTCTGTCTGATGTGTCCTTCAAAAGGTTAAAAAGCTAGAAATAATCATCTGTTTATCAATCAGACAGTTGGCCTGATCTGATGTGTCGTTACCGGCAGTAGTGGTGCACACGCTACATAAATATGAGCTTCACGCATCTGGTGGGTTAATGCAAAACGCCAGCTTGCGAGCGCATGTTTGTGCAATCTGTTGTTCTGCTGACGTCTACAGGAGGCTGTCCATGTCCCTGCGTGGAATACGATACAGCAGGCAGAGAAAAACAAGGAGACAGCGCGTGATAGCGGTACCGACAACAAGCTGGAGTTAGAGGCTGTGTGCCATTAATAGGAAGGGTGTGATAAATATTGAGAGCGCTTACTAACTAGCCTGTGTAGGATTCAGATGTGCATGTGAGGAGGCGTGCATGGGAAGTGTGTGAGCGTGCGTTGTGTTTCTTGGGCTGTGTGAGTTAAATGCTGGCATGAATCAGGACAGACACCTCTGCCCCCCGTCCTCCCATCGCTTGTCTCCTCTTATTTATCAATGAAGCATATTCACTGCTGCTTTCTGTGTGGAAGCCCACGAGTGCATCCATGTGTCTGTCCAATTAGCCCCGTGTGTGTGTGTGTGTGTGTGTGTGTGTGTGTGTGTGTGTGTGTGTGTGTGTGTGTGTGTGTGTGTGTGTGTGTGTGTGTGTGTGTGTGTGTGTGTGTGTGTGTGTGTGTGTGTGTGTGTCGGTTGCACTAGAACAGACGGGAGGCTAACCCTGCTCGCTCCTGGTTGTAGATAGTTGTAAATAGTGTTCAAAGGACTTCATATTTCAGAGAGGAGAGTGCGCAGAGGAAAGCATGCCGTGGTGGGAAGGTGCCGTCACCTGTGTCTCCTTATTGTAGTCAAAGTGTCCAATTCGAAATGACACAGCAACGCTTGCAAAGTTTTCTACAGAGGAGAGCTTCTTAACCGGCTTTATTAAAAATAAGCTAAAACTGCAAGTAAAACAGCTTTTGATTTTAAACAGGGTAATCTACGGAAGCCCAAAGTGACCAATATTCAATTTTAAATGAACAATCATATGACCAAATACAGGCTTTTTAAGGTAATATACGTGAAATTCTGAAATATTGCAATAATGATTTAGTAATTTATTAAATGTTAAACATTGGATCTCCATAGAAATCCACATTGGCAGCTTTTGTCCCAGTTTCTGATTAGGACCAGGCAAAGTTTACGTCACCAGGTACTGGGTACTCACTGGTCATGTTGCATAAGAGCATGTTGTTGTACAGCAGAGGAAGTGTGGATCACATGTGTGTTTTTTCCATAGCAGGATGGGAAACATGATGCTCAAACGAAAGGGCAGCTGGTCTATCTAAATACAAAGAAATGTTGTTGTGTTCTAGTCTAACTATGTTCCGTAAACTCATTCCTACCAACGGGGGCAGGTTGACGTCCTGTTGAGTCGAGGATCTGAAAGAAAACTGACCCCATTAACCTCTCCGCCTCACCCCTTCACATCTTGTCTGATCGCCTAAGACCCTCACGAGCTGTTTTCTGTGGACAAGCGGCATACAGTGGGGCATTTAGACTCTGTGGGTAAAGTAGTTTGGTACTATCCTGTCGCTCTGGCCGTTCATCCCTGCATGGTCCCTATTGGTGTTCCAGCCAGCATGAGAACAAGGACACAAACTGTGAATCATCTTTGTATTTTTTAAATAAATTCCTCAGCAGGATTTACGGCTTTGTTTTAGCAAATGTTTCTATTTCTTTTAAGCACTTCTTTTTTTTGTGTAAATTATTCTTTTGGTTTATTTCCTTTTTTCTGTTGGGACTTTTTTTTTATTTAACCAATTATGATGTATAGATATTTATTCTAGCAATAGTCTTCCTATTAAGATATACTGTGCTGATGCATCCTCTGAATAACTGAAAATAGCATATATATAAATATAAATATATATATATAGATGATAATAATCAAATCTGCAAAATGATTTTCCTAATAAAAATGTGAACTGAGGAGTGTTTCTCGTCTTCTTTTATTTGTTCCTCTTGTTGGTGTATGACTCAAAAACGATTTGATAGATTCCCATGACATTTTGCAAAGGCGTTTGTAATGCCCCCATCATGAATCCTCATAACCTACAGCACTTGTTCCCCTGACTTTGAAGGGGCCTTATTTCTCTTGTTGGGGTTTCTCTTTCCTGTAGTTGTCATATTGGTTTTTGTGCATGTCAATATTCTGCAAAGGCCAACATCCCACTCACTCCCCACCTGCCTGAAATGCCTCAATTGAACTACTTTGATTACCTCCATTACATAGTGACATCACTATGTAACATTTGGCTACAACACATTGTACGTGACACGCTAAGGGGCGTCATTATTTCAAAACGGCTACATAATTCTTTAGACAAACATTTTTGAGTAACCTTCATCTATTTGTATGCACTTTTTGATGCAAGGAATAAAATGGAATTTGAAGGCCAAATCAACTTCTCCTCGTGGGCAGTGAGGAACTGCTAGAGCAGCCTCCCTGTCTCCTGTCGTTACCTTCTGGACATTTGTGCTGCGTTTGACACAGTGAACCTCCAGATCCTTCAACAAACTCTCCAAGAACGTGGAGTCTTCTGCTTGGGGATGCTGAGCCCAGTTGCTATGCAGACAGTGTGATGTTGACGCGCGAGGTGTGACCCTGCAGGGGACAAAGGCGCCTTACGACAGGTACAAGGCCTCCCGAGGGGTCGCTGGGGCGTAGATCCACGCAGAAAGGTGAACCCCTACTGCAGGGGTGGGGAACCTCCGGCCCCCGGGCCGTATACGTCCCGCGAGACCATTTGGTACGGCCCTCGAGGTAATTTATAAACACACGCAAAAAAGAAAAAAATTAAAGAAATCTAGAAAAAATAAAAAAGCGAGTGCCTGTTTTTCCTGGCCAAGGTCAGGGTCCTTGAACACAACACGAGCCTTACGTGTCATCACGTGGTATATGTCTCGTCTCATAGGGTGTATTTCTGACGGAGAGCATCAGAACGTCGCTTCAGCACTTCCAAAAATTGCAGTACCCATAAGGAGCCGTACACATGCGGCAGTTTTTTCGTGGATGTGTCTTTAGTTGTAAGCCCAGTGGCGATCTGTTCATCTGTCATACTGATCATACAGTCTGTTAAGCTTGGGTGCACATGAATCGCGTATGAACAATAAGTAAATCAGACTCGGTATTCTCTTCAGCATGTCTCCGGTAAGTTTATTCACAGACTGACAACAGTGTTGTCAGTCTGTGAATAAACTTACCGGAGACATGCTGAAGAGAATACCGAGTCTGATTTACTTATTGTTCATACGCGATTCATGTGCACCCAAGCTTNACTTGTTGGAGATAAAGCTTCTTATATTTGTTAGCATAGCTAGCTAACCAGATGCTAATAACAACAAAGTTATTGACTGTATGATCAGTATGACAGATGAACAGATCGCCACTG